ATTTTCGTTGAATAATAAAATCATCATTCAATGGCCTGGTGTAATTAGGTGGATTTCTTTGACAACTATCAGGAATTTTACTTAACGAAGTTCGGCAATACGTATACTTGATGAAAATTTCGCAATAGTTTAAAGCCGTAATATTTGGACCATACGTTATTGAGCACATTAAAAAACTATTCCCAAAATTTCAAATTGGTTTTCCACGCGAATTTTCGAAATATACATCGTCAATCTTTCATTTTTGGCGCTTTTTCAATTTTTGACGATGCATTTCTCGAAAATTCGCGTGGAAAATCAACTCGAAATTTTGGAAATGGTTTTTCAATGTGGTCAACAACATATGGTCCAAATATTGTTGCTTCAAACTATTGCGAAATTTTTACCAGGTATACTTACTGCGGAAATTCCTTAATCTTTCAAATTTGAAGATAAAAATTATGAGTATTTAAAAGGTTTTGGACGACACGAAATGATATGATCAAATGAATGGAATGAGCGAGTGAAAAAATTAGTTTCAAAATCATTCAAAGAACTTTGAATGTATGAAATATCTCGACAAAAAGTTAATCTATATAAACAAGAGTACATTTTCAAATTCAAATATTCCAGTACTGTGCAGTGTCCAGCCTGTATATGCAAGCTACATCCAGCATATTCCGTCAATAGCTACAATAATGACACGCCAGGTCTTCGTCTCAAGTGTCCAACTCAGGCCTGAAATCAACATCGCACTGGAAATGGAGTTAGTAAGCAGAAGACTACTTTTGTTATCTATTGAATATCATCACGAGGCAGTGATAGAGGAGTCTACAGAGCCACTGGAGGAAGTCTACACAGCCAAACGAGGGAGTCGTATCGTAATGGTAAATCATGATATCATGAGGACTTAGTGCTGTTTGAATTTATTCTAACTCCTTCTCAGATAACTCTTCTCACTTAGTTTTACATTCGCCTAGGGCCATTCATGAGGAATTTCATTCATTCATTCATTTTTCTGAATGAATAGTTTTTCTTTGTCAATTGTTTTCCTCTTGCATATCCCTTTCGGGTTGTCACGATTTTTTTCATTTCCACTTGCAATTCCCTGCAATGCAGTCGTTGAAGGAAGGAAAGAAACTCACTTGAAGGGAAAACCAAATCACCAATTATTCAATTTGTTCCAAAATTCTGTAATTCAGCATTCATGGATCAAAAATTTAATTTATCTATTTTTTGTTCTCTAGGTAAACAGAAGAACATCTTGTATACTTCGTTGGCAGGTGCAACATCTTGGGGATTAGCGCAGATTAGACAGACTAATATGATCTCTGAGCTTGCTGTTTTTTGTAACTTCGCCAAGGGAACCTTTCTCTATCAGAACATTACACTATAGTTATTACAGGTACTTATGAACGTAATAATTAATTACTCGACCATATTATAAAATTATTTAGAATGAGAGAACAAAAATTGATATTTTTTCAGATATTGGAGCCTTCTCACCGAGTGCCTGTATCCGGCTGAGGACATTGAAAATCATAATCACATGAAAAATTCGTGTAAAACTCCAACTTTAGTGCATGATGGATATATTTTCAAAAAAACGTGTCATTCAGGACTAATGGAAATTGACTCACATTAATAATAAATTGAAATTACCATATATCTATTCTATTTACAACATAATCTCGTGGCATTTTCAAACCACACATATTCTAATGTACTTTCTTCGGAGTACAATGCCTTATCAAATGGTGATTTAATCTTGCCTTGGAAGAAAAATGAATGATTAAATTCTCATTGAAAATTGATGTCTATCTGACTGAAAATGAACGCTAAAAAGTTTAAAATTCTGATTTGATTGACCATAGTATTATCGAAAGAAAATTCCTGTTTCCTGTTTTTATTTTCAATGTTTTAGCATTGAAATTCACAACTAATTAACAATTAGTAATTGCATTCCACTCAGCGTATTATTTTATTTGAAAAAACGCCAAGAAATACGTGAAAATGTACCACAAATATTATTCTTCCTGTGAAATATCATCTCATTTACTCATGGTTTTCCCACCAAGGAAACGCTTGATTTTAGAAAATGAAAGAAAATTATTTGTTTTCACAGGTCAATTACGATACCATCACTGAGAAAACTATGTTTTTATTTTTTTCCTTCAAATTACCGCTAAAAATCGGTAAAAACAACAAGCATGGGTCCAGTCGATAATGATAACTCTGGATTGTTATTTAAAAATGGCTGCATGCAGAACGAACCCAAGACGTGTGATGTTTTCTTTACTGCTTCCTGATAAAATATTCTGTTTTTGGTGAGTAAAATTGATCAGAATGATAATCTATCACCGAAATATGAAGAAACACGTGTTTCCATGTAGTTTGATCATTTTTTTTTAGATTTATAGGTTCGTCTCATGTTTTTACCAAGATGCCTCCTCAGTGTC